TAGATTTGATGAATCAAGTATTTCAGTTTTATTTGGATTAATTTGAGGTGGTCTGTATTGATAATATTCTGGTATACTCAAACACAAAGATAGAACATGATGTTCATCTTCGTACTGTGCTCGAAATACTTAAGGATAAAAAGTTATATCCCAAACTGTCAAAGTGTGAGTTTTGGCTATCAGAAGTTTATTTTCTTGGTCATGTTGTCTCGGTAGAAGGCATAAGAGTAGATCCAAATAAAGTTCAAGCAATACTGGAGTGGAAACCTCCAAAGAATATTACAGAGATCAGAATTTTTTTTTTACTTGCTGGTTATTATCGAAGGTTTGTGAAAAACTTTTCGATGGTTGCTTCTCCTTTGACCAAGCTTTTGCGAAAGGATGTTTCATTTTCTTGGACTGAGAAATGTCAAGAGAGTTTTGAAGCTCCAAAGAAGATTTTAACAGAAACACCAATGTTGGTACAACCGAAATCGGGTAAATAATATATGGTGTATAATGATGCATCTCATAATGGTTTGGGTTGTGTACTTATGAAAAAAGGTAAAGTAGTAGCCTATACTTCTCGACAATTAAAGACGCATGAGAGGAATTATCCTACTCATGATCTTGAGTTAGCAGTGGTTCTTTTTGCTCTAAAGATTTGGCGTCATTATTTGTATGGTGAGAGATGCCACATCTACATGGATCATAAGAGTTTGAAATATTTTTGACTTAAAAAAAGAGCTCAATTTGAGACAAAGAAGATGGATAGAACTTTTAAAGGACTATGATTTGATAATTGATTATCATTCAGGTAAGACAAATGTGTAGTAGATGCACTTAGTCGGAAAACTTTTACAGCTTTGCGAGCTATGGATGTGCGACTATTATTGATAGAAAATGGCGCACTATTAGATGAATTAAAAGTAAAAACGATGTTTTGATATCGGAAATAGAGCTACAAAAGAAAGTTGGTAGATACTTGGAAAATATTTCACTTCTGAAAAAAAATACGAGACTAAAGACTTTAAAATCAAGTATGATGAATGTCTATTTTATCGAGGAAAATTTTGTATTCCTCATAATGATGAGTTGAAGAAAGATATTGTTTTTGATGCACATTATAGTCTACTAACTATGCATCAAAGTGAAAAAATGTATCATGATGTAAAGAGTCGATTTTGGTGGCCAGGTATGAAAAAAAACATTACTGAGTTTATTCCTACATGTGTGACATGTCAGCAACTAAAAGTTGAGCATAAAGTGGTTTCGTAATTTTGCAACAGATTTATATTCCATAGTGAAAATAGTAAAGAGTCACTATGGATTTTGTTACATGGTTATCTCTGACATCAAATAAGAAGGATTCCATTTGGGTGATAGTTGATCGGTTAATTAAATCGACACATTTCATTCCGGTGCGAATGGACTACACATTGGACAAATATGCAGAGTTGTATATCAAGGAGATAGTTTGGTTACATGGAGTGCCAGTATCAATCATATCTGATAGGGATCCAAGGTTCACTTCAAGATTTTGGAATTCTTTGTATAAAGCATTGGGTACTTGGTTGAATTTCAGTACGACTTTCATCCATAGACGGATGATAATTCAAAAAGTATTATTTAGATATTAAAAGATATGCTGATTACATGTGTGATTGATTCTAAGGAATCATGGGAAAATAAAAGTATTTGCTTTTAGTAGAATTTTCCTATAATAACAGTTATCAATTGAGTAACAAGATAACTCTGTATGAAGTTTTATATGGGAGAAAATGTCGAACACCACTGAATGGGTTCGAGTTAAAAGATTGAAATCTTGTTGGCCCAGATTTAATGAAAGATGTTAAGGATAAAGTAAAGATAATTCAAGATAATTTCAAAATGGCATTTGATCGGCAAAAAGTCTTATACAGACTTGAAGCGAAAAGAGATTGAAATTCATGAAGGGGATAAAGTTTTTCTTAAAGTATAGCATTAGAAAACTATTTTTGCTCCAAAATACAAAGGAAAATTTAAGTCTAAGATTCATAAGACTTTATGAGATATTAAAAAGAGTTAGACTGTTGGTTTATCAGTTAACATTAACTCTGGAGGTAATTGAGATCCAGAGTTGAACAAAATGCACAATGTTTTCATGTGTTGATGTTTAGAAAGTATCGAATAGATCTTTTACATGTCATTTCATCAAAGTAAATTAGGATATGACTAGATATGATTTATGAAGAAGAATTAATAAGGATCTTGGCTCGAGAAATCTAAGAACTGCGTAACAAGACGATTCCTCTAGTTAAAGTGATTTAGCAAAATCATATTGTCGAGGATGTTACTTGTGAAAGGGAGGATGATATGAAGAAATAATATTCAGAACATTTTTGTATCAGGTTGAAGATTTGGATTAAATATCTTCCAAATCTAATGATTACCCTGATCTTCATAAAATTCCCAAATTAAAGAGGGAAAATCGGAATTCAAGAAGTTGGCAAGACTAGAAGAGGTTTTCGCATAAGGCGAGGGCATGTCTTACCAGTTTGTACAATCCTAAATTAGGGTTACAAAATTTACAATTGAAAGTTCAATCCTTATAAAAGGGGAGTTAGTGGTTTTATAGACAGTTTTAAAATTCGAGGATAAATTTTCTTAAGGAGGGGAGAATTGTAATACCCAAAAAAATTCAGATAATAACCAAAATGCAAATTTTGAAAGTTTGATTATCAAAGTAGAAAATTGGGAAAAGTTTAAGGAATTAAGTGGTGATTTTTCCTAAAAAGAAATTTATTTCATAAATGGATTTATTAAATGACCAAATTATAAATTTAGTAAAGTTTACTGATCAAAGTATAAACTTTGGAAAGTTTAGGGACCAAAATGTAATTTTGATAAAATTAAAAATGGGTCACGAAAATAAGAAATAAAAATATTACTTTCATATTTTTTAAATGTTGGAAAATAATATTTAATGGTTTAATTTAATGTTTAATTTGAATTATTTGATTAAAGTGATTGAATTGCAATTTTTGGAAATTACAAGGGAAAAATGGTAAAGTGGAAAATTAATTTGTTTATCTTTGACTATTAAAAGATGACAAGGCTGATATTTAATTGAATTAGAAGATTGATAAGGATATGTAACTTGGTTTTATGGTAATTATGAAGTTTCAGTAAGGGTATATTGGTATTTTCCCAAGTTAATGATAATTAAAGGATGATAAGCATGATATCAATAAAAAATATCATGCCAAAGTGTTCTTCTCCAGCATATTCACGTGAGAAAGCTTCCAAGGTAAAAAATATTTTATTTATAATATCAATTACCATTTTAAGAAAATAAATTTTAAATCACTGGTAAAAAGTGGAAAAGCTTACAAAATTCGGGTGACATCTATAATCTGTATAGGAATAATTATACAGGTTATGGGTATTACAGTATCCAATAAATGTACCATAATTTTTGCAGCTTCAGCAGCCATAGGAGTGTCATCCTTCTTTGTATGTGTCATATCGAAGAGTTGGATTCGGACAACTTTAGAACCAAATGTATTTTCCTACAATGTACCATAATATAATTAGTTTGAGTTTCTATGTACATGGAATACAAATAATTATGTGAATAATCTATAATACCTCGTAATTAGCTATACAAGCAAAGCTCTTCGATCCAGCCATGTGCGTAAACTTTTGTTGTTGCCTGCTAGCAACACCAATATGATCTCAGTCCTACAATTTCAAACAACCACTTTTAATGACGATTTATAATTCGTTAAAACTATTTTTGAAAACTACATCATACCTGTCCTTTTTGTGAACTCCAAAATCTTACTGCATCTTCCCATTGGTACATGAGCATTCCAGGTGGGACAGTTTGTATCTTCTATTCAAGGTTGAGATCATTCTTGAAGTATTTCTTTTTTAATGAGCTCTTTTGGTGTCTCCATCTCTTCTCTAACACTTTCTTCACATATTCGTCAGAGACCTCTAAAGAAAATTTCTCCTATACAACAAATAAGTGTTCAACGCAAGTATAAATTAGTATTGAATTGTTATAGAGTATCTATTATTATGACATTATTACCTTAACAAAATCCAACGCCTGATTTTTGTTACTATTAGGCATTTTGCTCCATGACTTGTAATTGATTGGCAAAAGATTAGCATTACGTCTAACTATGCCTAAGTAACCGACTAGAAGACGTGCTTTTGGGCCAATTGGTTGACCGACATCATTTCTTTAAACTTTGACACGGTGCCCAAGAGGAAGTTGGTATAATTCCTTCAACGTTGTACGTCCTCTACTCTTGCGTGTTCCAGAATTTTCAACTTTATAAGAAATTATTAAATGTATGTTTTGAAAATGAACAAACTATTAAATAAAGTTTCGAAGATTACCTTGAATTTCTACAGCTTCTTCAACGGTTATAGGAACTTCGGAAGAGTCAGCTGCATTCGATTCCTCATTATTTGTTTGTTCATGCTCCTCAGAAGCTCGAACAACCCGCAAATCACTTATTTTTATCCTCGGCATGATATCTGTAATAAATAAACATTTGTAATGAAAAGCGATTTAATTAATGAGTATATTGAAAGATAACATGTTAAAAGTTATAACATTATAAACAAATAAATTAAGATATAAAATCTTATGACATTCTAACATTTGTAATGTTAGTTGTCATAAATATCTTCATCAACGTCCTCCCGAACCGATTGAAATTGTGTTGTATTAGTGATAGTTTCATCTAAGTTTTGTGCTACTAGAGGTAAACATTTTGTTCTCGTTTCAATGTTATCTCTACTTCCATCTCTGATGTCTATCAAATCTCTGGAGTATTACGGAGCACAATATACCAACCGTCATCCATTGGATCGTGACAGTAAAATACTTGTTTCACTTTAGAAGAAAATACATATGGTTCATCCATCTATCGTTGATCAGTGTGAATTAATCAAGAGAAATTCACCATTGTAAACCCGAATTTATCTCTGTTTACATCAACCCAGTCACACCGAAATAACACAACCTTTCATTTTCCATAATAATCTAACTCAATAATGTCCATAAGAATTCCATAATAATCAACATCTCCCTCCTGCGGATTATTGTCCCTGACACAAGAATAAGTGGTAGTTGAAGAAGTAACTACGATTCCACAATTTTTTGTCCTCCTTAATCTTTCACGAGATTTCATGTGGAACCTGAATCCATTAATGAGAAAGGCATTATATCTTTTAACTATTCTATTCGGACCTTGAGAAAGCCATTTAACATCTTCACTAACTTCTCTCCCACTCCAAACCTATTACACATTAATGGTTCATATATAAGGGTTGATTTCTATATAAAAAGCAAGACATATATTATTTATAAGTATATGGAATGATTTAGTTGCTTACCATTTGGCCTAACCATTCATGAAAAGTTTCTGTGAATAACTTATGTATCTCTCGCTGATGTAATCTTCAGGACCGTGCACGAGATATCAAGACTTCTTTAAACTCACTATAAAGTAGATTATGTCATTAAAGAATGATAAATATAAAAGATTAAGAAATTTCATTAGTATTGGGTCCGAAAGACTTACTTGCAAAAGGGATCTATTGAATCATGATGGAAAAGAACATATTGGTGTACTTGTACCCAAGACGTGTTATCTAAGTGTGCAATTTCAACTTTCCCAAATGGTTGACTATAACTTCCAAACAAATAATCTTGAGGTAAGTCGTTAGTACTGAACACATCATTTCTATTTGGTCTATTACATCTTGTTTCAACATCTTCCTAATATCTAGAGCAAAATGTCATACATTCCTCTGCCAAATACGCTTCAGCAATTGATCCTTCCGGATAACGCTATTATGACAGTAAGACTTCAACTTGCCCAAGAACCTATATAGAAAACAACATACATTGTAAATATATTTAATTAAAAGGTATAATCAGTAGTCATTTGAAATATATAATTCAATTAACACCTCTCTATAGGGTACATCCATCGATAGAAAACTGGTCCACCAACTCTTGCTTCGTGAGGAAGATGAATTAGCATATGCACCATAATTGTGAAGAATGAAGGTAGAAATATCTTCGCCAATTTGCATAAAGTCAAGGCAGTTCGATCTTGTAGTTTATCAAGTTCTTCAACCATCAGAACTTTCCCACATATGGCTTTCATTATATTGGAAAGTTCAATTATACAAGACGTCACCTTACTAGACATGCAACCGCATACAGCTACTTGTAGTAAATCTTTCATTAATATGTGAAAATCATGTGACTTTAAAGAATAAAGTCTTCGATCTTTAACACTGACACATCGAGATATATTTGATGCATACCCATCTGAGACTTTTATATCCTTCAAGACCGAACAAAACACTTCTTTTTCTTTTATCGAAAGATAAAAGATAGAAGGCGGCAAGAAATATTTTCCATTAGGATGTAATTGCAGATGAAGATCATGTCGAATTCCTATGTCGACTAAGGTAAGTCAACTCTTGAGATTATCTTTAGATTCTTACAATACGGTAACTCGAAGAATATACTACTCTTTTTCCACAAGTCTACCTCATTTGGATCATCCTCTTCATCAGTCTCATCATCACTCTGTTGGTCAAATTCAAGCTCTTCATTGACCTACTTTGCCTTTTTCTTTGATCGTGTACTACTTGGTTGATTCATCTTTCCATAAGTAAAATTGATATTTTTCAACATGAAGAATATTTCAGACCCGATTGTTTGGTCAGGAGCATTTTGAAACTCTTCATCACCATCAAACATATTCTTTTGACATCTTAATCTATGATTATCAGGTAACCTCTGACGATATCCCATAAAGGACAACTTCATTCCATTAACCAACCACTTCGAACATGTTTATGCAGCACAACAAGGAAAATCATAACGACATTTGGTACTCCAACCAGATAAATTTGTATACGCATGAAAATAATTAATTGTCCATAATAAAATCGCGCGTAAATTAAAGGTCTCCTTCTTAAACACATCATATGTTTCGACCCTTCATATAACTTTTTCAACTATACAATTAGCGGTTTCATGTAAATATCAATATCATTTCCAGGGCCTTTCTTGCCAGGGATTATCATGGATAAGATGAAAGATGATTGATTCATGCAAAACCACTTAGGCAAATTGTATGGAACAAGTATAACAGGCCAAGTACTATAAGAAGTACTCATGATTTTGAATCGATTAAACCCATCAGTTGCAAGACCGAGCTTGACATTTCGAGGATCTCTCGCAAATCTTGGATACTTATTTTCAAATGACTTCCAAGCTAAAGAATCCACAGGATGCCGTAATAATCCATCATCGGTTCTGCCATCATGATGCCACCTCATAAACTCAGCAGTCTTGGAGCACATGAACAATCTTTGTAGCCTAGGAATGAGAGGAAAATATCATAGAATCTTTACCGGTTTCTTTCTTGATCATGTTTGAGCTTCATCCTCAGTAACATTTTTTGCGTCCTTAGTCATCCATTGAGATTTTCCGTATACATGACAAGACTCTGATTTTTTCGATCACCCCAATACAACATACAATCATTCGGACAACTATGAATTTTGTCATATCCAAGACCTAAATCTTTTATCATTTTCTTCAAATATTTGCATGATTGAGGGATTTTTGCAAAAGGAAAAACTTCTTCTAGTAACTCCAATAATTGTGTAAAGGAGTTACCAGTCCACCCTCCGAGGCATTTTAAGTGGAAAAGTCGAATGTAGAAAGAAAGCTTTGATCCCTCATAAAGTTGTTCATTAATTTCATTCAGCAACTTGTAAAACTTTGCCGCTTCTCCATTTGGCTCTTCATCACATCCAATTCTTCCTATCTCAATGAAATCATTAACATCATTCTGACAATAATTTTCTGTAACATACTCCATTGAGGGATTGTGCATATTTAATGCATCTCGTAATATCTCTTCCATGTCATCTTCTCTAAAAGTTGGATGGTGAGAAGAAGTAGGATAAGTCGAATAACTCGTGGAAGCAGATCTATCTGATATAAACTCTCCATGAAAGATCCATTTTCTATTCCCCCAAACAAATCAAAAAAACAACTAGATGCTCGTACACAACTTTACGAATGTGCCAGTTAATGTTAACAAACTTCTTACAAGGGAAAAGAATTATATTCTCTTGTCTTGCATTCAGAAAAGCTAAATTTAGAAAGTTTTCGACTCCATTTCGATATTTGATGCTAACCCTTGAGAAATCCATCCAAGTCTTATCCATTTCGTATTTATGGAGTTTCAATTTCAAATGTTAAATGCTAATATTATACAGAAAGTTAGAACCTAAACATAAGCATTAAACTAATCACTCCTAAATTATAGAACTAATCACTCCTAAATTATAGAACTTTTAAATTGATAAACAATTTATTATAAGTTGATAACTCTACTCCTTCATGGTGTTTTCAACATTCTAGGAGCTAGTATTTTATATTAGTCTCAGACAACTAACTCATGTCTCATTTCAAACGACGCCTATAATATATTTTTTCAATTAGTATAGATACCCCTATTTCAAACCCATAAGGATTACTGAAAATGGTATTTAGACAGAACAATTTAACTTCACCCTTAAATGATTTGTTCAATATCAATGAGATTTTATTAACTAATGTTTTAAAGAAACAAAGTATATAGAGGGCACTCATTTAGAGCATCAGTTCTCAGAATTGCTTTTGGGACAAAATTACATATATACATGGTACATAGTACATCTATTTCTATTATTTAGGTTATGTAACTTTTAATCTTTACTTTTCCAACGTTATATATGTCTAAAGCATATCACAGTAATAACATCATTTTTAAAGAAGTTTAAATCAACACAAATAAATCATATATCCAGCATATTTAATACCTTAAACATCATTATGTTTGTCAAAAGAATATGTTCATAATCATAATTCATTGATCATACCTGAGGTCATAAGTTGGGGAAAGATGTAAGAAGTTTGTTCTTGTTCACATTTAGAAAATCAAGAGTTGCAGCTGGAACAACAGGATCTGCAAACTCACTGTAACCAGCAGAAGAATAGTGCTAATCAAAAAAACTGTAAGAGAAACAGAAAGTTTAACTTTGAAAAATACTAAAATTAATATTGCCATAAGAGTATAGGCAAGATAAAGTGAATGCAAGAAGAAAAGGCTCGTGTAGATTAACATTGCAGCAAACAGATTAACTAATGATCCATCCAAAGGATGATGCTTAAATTCCTGTCCTTCATACATAAAACACATCATTATGCTTTTTTTTTGTCCAGTAAAGATCATTAATTTTAAAGAAATGAAGGATATTTTCGAAGTAAGAAAAAAATAAAATGAATATAGTGGATTAAAATCTAACTTACAAGAAAAATATATATTGAGAACAAAAAATATTGCATATCATTACCGGCTCAAACATGAACGAAAAAATGTCCTCAGACTAGGATCAGCATCATGCAGAACCACCTCTCCAAAATCAAGGAAAAATTGGAGAATGACCTGATTAAAAAATCCAAAAAAGATATGTAAACAATTGTTAGGTATGTCTCATAAATATACCAGTAAACAATTATAAATAGAGAGGTAACCTAAACCTATGAGACATTGAATAAAACTTCTAGCGTCGTCTAGGCACTGAGGACGTAAGCACATTGTCGAACCTCGTTAAAATTCTTGTGTTCTTTCATTTTCTTTACCCGATTCTTCAATAATTGGTATCAGATGTCAGGAGAAAAATTCGAAGTTTCGAAATTCGATGGCCAGGGTAATTTCAGATTATGGAAAATGAGGGTGAAGGATCTATTGGCTCAGTAAGGGATCCTGAAGGCTTTGTGACCTACAAAGTCGGCGTCGATGGAGGAGGAAGATTAGGAAGAATTGCAATAGTGAGCGGCAGGAACCATACGATTATGCTTGGTGGACGAGGTCATATATCACGTCATGCATCTATCGTCTCTAGATGAAATTTGGAGGAAGTTGGAAAGTCAGTTTATATCCAAATCCTTAACGATAAAACTGTATCTAAAGCAATGGTTGTATGGGCTGAAGATGCAGGATGAACATGATTTGGCACAACACGTGAATTTCTTCAATCAAATCGTTTCTGATTTGGCTCGACTTGATGTACAAATTGAGGATGAAGACAAAGCGATGATTCTGTTGTGTTCGTTACCTCCCTCTTACGAACACATGGTGACTACTCTTACATATGGGAAAAAGACTATCAACATTGAGGAGATTACTCCAGCCTTGTTGGCTCACAACCAACGGAAGCAGAATGCAGGGGAAAGCTCTCAAGCCGATAGCTTATATGTCAAGGGTAATCGAGACCGTGGACGGAAGCCAGAGAAGGTAGGGTCTGGAAAGCAGAATTCCAGATCCAAATCTAGGGATAAGAAGACAATTCACTGTTACAAGTGCAAGGAGGAGGGATCTATAAAGTGAGACTATTCGAAGTTGAAAAAGGATACTGATGAGAAGCGTAATGATTCATCCAAGTCTGTGAATGTGGTCGAGGATGAAAACTCTGATTGTAGTGAGGGTGATATGCTCTCTATTTCAATAACTCAATTGATGGATATTTGGATTCTTGATTCTGGATGTTCTTATCACATCACGCCAAACAAGGAATGGTTTTCGACATACAAGTCAGTTAATTCTAGTTCTGTTTATTTGGGTGATGATCGATGTTACAATATTGTTGGTACTGGTGATGTCAGAATTAAGATGTATGATGGCTCTGTTCAGACGTTGAGTGGTGTTCGACATATCCCAAATTTGAAGAAGAATTTGATTTCTTTGTGCACTTTGCACAAGAATGGTTTTATCCCTAAGGCTGATGAAGATAGGGAAACCATTAGGATTGTTAAAGGAGCTTTAACTGTGATGAAAGGAAAGATGATTGCAGGGAATATTTATAGATTGTTAGGGAGTACCGTTGTAGATGGAGTTCATTCTCTTGAATCCTGTGATGATACTACAAAACTGTGGCATATGCGTCTTACTCATCTTAGTGAACGTGGTATGGGAGAATTACACAAAAGAAATTTGTTGCATGGTGTCAAAAGTTGTAAGCTCGATTTTTGCAAGTATTGTGTTATTGGTAAACAGACTAAAGTCTGTTTCAAGACTGCGAAGCACATAACTCAAGGGATTCTTTATTATGTGCATTCTAATGTATGGGGGCCTTTCACAACATCATCTTTGGGTAGATCTAGGTACTATGTTACTTTTATTGATGATTTTTCACGGAAAGTTTGGGTGTATTTTTTGAAACCAAAGTCTGACGTTTTTGAGAAGTTCAAGCTAAGGTAGAAAACCAAACAGGACAAAAAATCAAGTGTTTGTAGTCTGACAATGGTACAGAGTACACAGATTCATAGTTTCTACACTTCTGTAAGGAGCATGGGATAAAGAGACATTTTACAGTGCACAAGACACCACAACAAAATGGTGTTGCGGAACGGATGAACAAGTCGTTGAATGAAAGAGCCAGATGTTTACGGTTGAATGTGGGGCTTCCCAAACAATTCTAGGCTGAGGCTGTTAACATGGCGTGTTATCTTATCAACAGATTGCTAAGGGCATCATTGGTTGAAAAAGTTGCATAAGAGGTATGGACTGGTCATGATGTTAGTTTTGATCACTTACAAATTTTTGGTTGTCCTACTTATTTGCATGTATCTGCTGATGAGAGATCCAAACTTGATGCAAAATCGAAGGAGTGCATTTTTCTTGGTTACAAGAAATGTGTTAAAGGATTCAAGTTCTGGGATCCAGTTGTGAAGAAAATTATGATCGGTAGAGATGTTGTTTTTTATGAACAGTCCATGTTGTAGCAGAAGAAAGACACAACAGTGGTGGATTCCGAACAGTTTCCAGTTGAGAAACCAAAAACTTCTTAACCGACTTCTGGTAGTTCAAATATGGATTATTTTTAGGATTATAGTCTCGCCAGATACAGGGTGAGACAGATGAATATAAAGCCTCCGAACATATTGAGTTTTGAAGACTTGGTCTCTTTTGCACTTACTGTTAGCAGTGATGATCCAGTTACTTTTCATGATTTCGTTACTAGTCAGGAAAACTACAAGTGGATGGCTGCCATGGTTGAGGAGATGGAGTCTTTGAATCATAATCGTACATGGGAGTTGGTTTGCCTTCCTGAGGGTAGGAAGCCGATTGATTGAAATGGGTGTATAAGAAGAAACCAGCAGTAACAGAAAAATAGGGGGAGAAGTTCAAGGCTTGTTTGGTAGCATAGGGTTTTTCATAGCAGAAAGGAGTTGATTATGATGAAATTTTTTCTCTTGTGGTCAGGCACACTTCAATCCAAGCAATACTTGCATTGGTGGCTAGTTGGGTTTTGCATTTAGAGCAGATGGATGTTAAAACTACTTTTTTGCTTGGTGATTTATAGGAGCAGATCTACATGCGGCAGCCTGAAGGTTTCACTCAACCTGGAAATGAGCACTTAGTTTGCAGATTGAAGAAATCTTTATACGGGTTGAAACAGTCTCTAAGACAGTGGTATAAATGATTTGACTCCCATATGATCAATATTGGCTACAACCGATGTGAGTATGATTGTTGTGTCTATGTTAAGAGCCTTGATGATGGTTCTTTTATTTTTCTGTTATTGTATGTTGATGACATGTTAATTGCTGCGAAGAACATGGATGATGTTATCGGTTTGAAAACTTTATTGAGTCAGGAATTTGATATGAAAGATTTAGGTGCTGCAAAGAAAATTCTTGGAATGGAAATTTGCAGGGACAAAGACTCAAGGAAACTGTGGCTATCGCAACGGGGTTATGTTGAGAAAATGCTAGAAAGGTTTGCAATGAGTAGCGCAAAACCAGTGAGCAGTCCATTGGCGAATCACTTTAAACTCTCATTAGAACAGTGCCCTAAGACAGATAAGGAAACTGAAGATATGACAAAGGTTCCATATTCTAATGTTGTTGGCTGCTTGATGTATGCAATGGTATTTACTTATCTTGATTTAGCTCATGATGTTAGTCAAGTTTGTAAGTACATGTCTAAACCTGGTAAGCAACATTGGGAAGCAGTCAAGTGGATCTTTCAGTACTTAAAGGGTACTTTGGGACATGGAATTGTTTTTGGTAGTCAGCGGGATAATCCTTTGGTTGTAGGATATGTGGATTCAGACTTTGCAGGTAACTTGGATAATAGAAGATCTACGACAGGGTATGTGTTTACTCTTGGTGGAGGGCCTATTTGTTGGAAGTCTACTGTTCAATCTGTTGTGGCACTATCTACAACTGAAGCTGAATACATGGCAGCGGCTAAAGCTGCAAAAGAAACTTTATGGCTTACTGGTTTAGTGAAGGAGTTGGGTGTTCAGCAAGGTGGAGTTCAGTTGCTTTGTGACAATCAAAGTTCTATTCACTTGGCTAAGAATCAGGTGTATCGTGCTAGAACTAAACATATTGATGTAAGGTTCCACAAGATCAGAGAGTTGGTTGCCTCTGGAGAGGTTTTGTTTCAGAAGGTACATACTGATAAGAATGTCGCTGATATGTTCACCAAGCAAGTTACGACAAACAAGTTTAAGTATTGCTTGGACTTGTTGAATGTTTTGAGTTGTTAAAGAAGTAAGGTAACCCAACCCACATTGAAGTTTCCAAGAGGCAGGATATTCGCATGCATTTTGGGTTAATTATGTAATTATGTACCAGGTTTTTTATTATAAATAGAGATGTAACCTAAACCTATGAGACATTGAATAAAACTACTAGCGTCGTCTAGGCACCGAGGACGTAAGCACATTGTTGAACCTCGTTAAAATTCTTGTGTTCTTTCATTTTTTTACCTGATTCTTCAACAATAATACAGCTAAACTACAATAATATAGTATAAAAACACCTTGACTAGGTCCATCTAATCAACAACCGAAATATTTGAATTTTAAGATATACGATCTTTGCCACAGTAGCCCAAAATAGTGTTTGTTTTGTTGTCTATTTTGCTAACCAAAAGAGTCCTTTTGAATGGTTAAACACTAAAACCCGTAGCCATTTTCAACCAAACTTCTTCAATTTACTTCCCTATCGACCCTTAACTTGAAAAAGGGAAAACATTTAATTTGTTTTCCCATTTTCGATTAATTACACACTGTTCTTTATGCAATTTACTTCAAATAGGAAATTATTTCATGCATAGCTTCAACATAAGAATAGCTTGCGAAAATTAAAAAAGGCAAAACACACATTACAAAAAGTATTATTAAGATAATGCGCAATTTCTTTTCCAGTAGAAAATACCTACAATAAGCAAACCTAATTTGCTGGATTGATGGAGGTGTGACTAATGGCGATACACTGGGACCAACGACGTCAATGGTTGCCACTGCAAAGTTGATTTGCTGAGAAGGATACTCAAACGGGAACCATAACTATTGGACGATCGAACGTATTAAGCATATTAGGGCTCAGGCAAATGAAAAATTTTGGGGTTTTTATAATACTTTGCGACACT